GCCTGTTGATGGAATGAGGTGGGGAGCCATACATTTTGCTAAATCGAAGAGATGATATATATTCGTTAATGTAAAAACCCCAAACCTCAAAATCACCCTATAAAATAGTGGTAAATTTGGTGAAAATTTTATATGTCAAAAATTCTCTAAAACAGGATCAAAAGAAAGTAAGAAAAGTATTATCAACGTCCATGACAGAGGGCTCGTTTCTTTACGTCCAATAGAGGTTACAGATCGATGGGGAAAAAATAAAGTACCCTGACAGACAATGGGCGAAACTTATGAAGAGAAGTAAGAGGAGATAAAAATATACTTCATCAAATTCACAGAAAGTAACAAGTGATATCGGCAAAGACTCTTTAAAAAGTGTTAACGCCCAGTGTTGGCTAGGGTGGGGGTAGATGGGTGGAGTTGGGGGTGGATGAATGCTAGTGTGCGTCCTTAATGTTTGAATCTCTTACAGCAGTGTTTATACTTTAGACATTAAAAATCTCCGGTTAATTTTATTTTTTTATTTTTTTTCCTCCAGTTAACTTTAAACAAACATACTTGTATGTAGTATGTTCCAGCAAATCAAATGAATTCCAGTTTAAATCCCACTTCTTGTACTTATGGATTCCAGTATCTTAGGCAGGCTACCTAACCTCTCTAAGCCTGTTTCCTCCTTTGTAAAATGTGGGTATCAACTCTGTACTAAAGTGTTAGTCCCTCAGTCATGTCTGACTTTTTATGACCCCATAGACCAGAGCCCTCCAGGCTCCTCTGCCCGTGGAATTCTCCAGGCAAGAATATTGGAGTGGGTGGCCATTCCCTTCTCCAGAGGATCTTCCCAACCCAGGGATTGAACCTGGGTCTCCTGGACTGCAGACAGATTCTTTACTGTCTGAGTTACCAGTGGGTAGCAAGACCTCACGTAGCTCAAGTTAGTGTGAAAATAAATGGGCATAAACAAATGAATGGTTAATAGTAAACATTCCATAAACAATAGCCTCTTGTTACCATCAAAAGATAAATAGTAACTCCTGACTGTACTTGTCAATGAAAGCGACACCCAAAGCTGCCTGCGCGTGCATGTGTTCGTTATCAGAGTCGGGGCCATGATAGAGCAGCTCAGCCCACTTTTCTCTAAAAGGTGTGATACTTTTTGTAGAGAAGGGCAAGTTAGTGTTCTGGCACTTTTCAGAGAACAGCTTGGAAGACTAGTTTCTAGAGTTCTATCCTGGTCAGATTAGAGTGTGTTTCTTCATCACCCCAATTACTTCGCCAGCTGGCAGCATCTCTGGCTTTCATCATGAGCCCCACGCCTTTTCTCTGTCTCTTCTTCCTCATCTTAGTGCTTTGGCCTTCTCTGACAGGTGCAGAAGACACTGGGGAACTAAGTTCCCTATCCACACCATCAATGTTCACGTGCAGGGGAGGCTACAATCCAGATCTTCACACTCAGGATCTACAGCCCACACAGGTGGCTCTCCTGCCTCTCCTACTTGGATCGAGCTCTTGATAGAAAACGCTTGACATTCTGGAGTCTTGCTTTGTGAACTGGATCAGTCTCTTAAAGTCTCTTAAAGTGTCATTCCACTTTGCTCATTTATTTTAGGGCGCACTTGTCAATTTCTGAATCTGCCAGATCATCTCTAGAACAGGAAGGAGGTTGGGGAGCTGAGCACCAGCTGAGCAAGAACCAATGTTTCTGTTTCTGTTTTTGTCTTTAAGTTTATTGGTAACGCTTTCTCCACAGTCGCTTCCCTGTGTCTGAAGTTAAGCATCACAGATATCCATTTTTAATCTAATTAATTAATGTGTGATGAGCTTTTCTCTGTCAACTTTTTGAGATAACTGTGGATTCACATGCAGTCACAAGAAATTATAGAGAGATCTCATGTGCACTTTACCCAGTTTCCTCTAATGGGACCACTTTGCAAAATTCTGCTCCCATTATAACCAGGTACTGACGTTGACACAGTTGAGCTGCAGAACATCTCTGTCTCCACAGGGCTCCCTCCTGTTGCCCTTCTACAGCCAAACAGCATTGCCCTCCTCTCCCCTCGCCCCTCCACCATTCACCTGTTCTCCATTTCTGTAATGTTCAAGAATATCATGTAAAGAGAATCATACCATATGTAACCTTTGGGGACATAACTCACCCAGGTTACTGCACGTGTCTGTAGTTCATTTCGTCTTAAGGCTGAGTAGTTTCGTGTGGTGTGGGCATACCACACTGTTTAACTGAAGGGCATCTGGGTAGATTCTACTTTTTGACTGAGGAATAAAGGTGCGTGGATATCCAAGTACTGGTTTTCATATGAACCTAAGTTTTCATTTCTCTGGGATAAATGTCCTTGGGTACAATTTCTGGATAGCATCGTAGTTACATATTTGGTTTTAAAAGAAATTGCCGTTTTTTAGAGTGGCTACACCATTTTACATCCTTACCAGCAATGGTATGAGTAGTCCATTTCTCTGCATCCTTGCCAGCATTTGCTTGTTGATATTTTATATTTTGGCCACCCTGATAGGCATGTAGTGAATGTCACTGTAGTTTTAGGTTGCTTTTCCCTAATCGCTATTGAACATCTTTTCACGTGTTATTTTGCCATCTGTGTATCCTCTTTGGTGCAGTGTCACTACAAATCTTTCTCCCATTTTCTAATTCAGTTGTTTTGTACTGTTGGGTTTTGAGAATTCTTTATATATTCTTGATATTAGTCCTTCATCAAATTCTTTTCTCCTAGTCTTTGGCTTATTTTTTCATCCTTTGCCAGGGTCTTCTTCAAAACAAAAGATTTTAATTTTTCTTGCTGTTGTTATTTAGTCGCTAAGTTGTGTCCAACTCTTTGGGACCCCATGTACTGTAGCCCACCAGGCTTCTCTGTCCGTGGGATTTCCCAGGCATGGATACTGAAGTGAGTTGCCATTTCCTTCTCCAGGGGAGCGTCCCAACCCAGGGATTATACTGGAGTCTTTTGTGTTGGCAAGCACTTTCTTTACTACTGAGCCTTCAGGGAAGCCCTTTTAATTTTTATGAAGTCTAATTTATCAATTCATCCTTTTATAGACTGTACGTTTGATGAATCCTAGTTTCTCTTTAGATTTTGTCTCATGTTTTCCCCCAAAAGTAATAGTTTGGTGTTTTCCATCTGAGTCTCTGATGTATTTTGAGTCATTTTTATGTAAGATATGAGACAGATTAAAATTCTTTTTCTTTCTGTTTTCCAGTTGCTTTTTTTTCTTTTTCGTCTATGGGAGTCCATTGGATCCCACAGCATTTTTGAAAATTGTTCTTTCTCCACTGAATTATTTTTGTGCCTTTGTCAAAGATCTACTGTACATATTTATGTGGGTCTACACCTGAGTTGTGTTCCACTGATCTATGTGTTTATCCCTCTGTCAGTACCATGCAGCCTTGAATACTATAGCTCTGTAATACCTCTCAAAATTAGATAGACTGATCCCTCCCGCTTTATTCCTTTCTTAAGAACTGTTTTAGCTAGCCTAGTTTCTTTGCCTTTACATAAACATTTTAAAATACTCTCGTCTGTATCTACAAAAAAAATCTTGCTGGGATTTTGATAAGAATTATAGCAAACCCATATATTGATATAGAAAACTGATTTATATTATGTCTTCCTAAACATACAGCATGTCTCTTCATTTATTTAGATCTTTGGTTTCTTTCATCAGCATTTTCTAATTTTCAGTATACAAGTCCTATCATGTTTTGTTTGATTAACATTTATGTATTTCATTTTTTTGTAATTGTAAATGATTTCTAATAAATAAATTTGTGTCCACATGTTCAGCATTAGTATATAGAATTACCATTTACTTATATGTTTATCTTGTATTCTGTGGCATGACCAAAGTCATTTAATAATTCCAGGAGGTTTGGTAGATACTTTGGGATTTTCTATGTAAAAGTCATGTCATCTGCAAATAGGGACAATTTTATTTCTTCCTTTCCTGTCTGTAAGCCTTTTATTTCCTTGCTTGCTTTATTGCGCTGGCTGAAACAATTACGTTGAATAGTATACTATATTGGATAGTGGGAACAGACATCCTTGCCTTGTCCTCAACTGTAAGGAGAAAGCGTTTGCTCTTTCTCACCATTAACTATGTTATTAAGTATAATGTTGATGTACGTGTGCTGGGTTTTTATGAATGCTATTTGCCCATGGGAAGGAGCAGTTTCCTGATGTGATGCACTCGCTCCCCCAGAAGCAGTTCCCTTGATACAGTTAGATTGAGGATACGTGGTTTGCTAGAGTGAAGGAGGAATAATGAGCTTAGAATTTTGAAGGTTCAGATTTAAATTTTGACTCCCCGCCCCCCCGGCCCCCCACCATCTGACCAGATGGCCCTGGTTAACATGACTACATACCCCTCTCGAAGCCCATTTCCTCCTCCACCAAAGAGGGAGAAGAGCACTTGTCCTGTGTCCTCACCCTTGAGGAATAAGGGATGTGGGGTTATTATAGCCCTGCCAAGGCTTCCCTGTCTACACAGCAGGAGCTGGAGTATTGCCCAGACTTACTGAGATCTTTCTGTCTTACTCTGCTGTGCCCCAACCAGCACCTTAATTTACTCATCTCTCTGGAAGGTTTAACAACTTTTTTTTTTTTTTCGGTTTGACAACTTCTAATGGATCATTAGAATTTGCATTTGAAATCTTAAACTCAAAGACCAAAGACCCAGAAATGTTTGCTGTCTGGCAGGCTGACTGCTCAAGTCTGGTTCCTGGTTCCCACACTTAAATCATGTGTATAAACTCAGGCAAAGCATGCAGTCCCCGAATTCCCCATCAGTTTCATCATCTGTAAGATGGGAGAAACGATGGAACTAATTGCCAGGGCTGTTGTGAAGACTGAATTTATATCACATTTCTAGCAGTGCCTGACCTATTAGCCGTGATCATTACTGTTGGTGACTATAAGGACACATACTGATTTGTGAACCACCTTTCTTAAAAAAAAAAATTGTTTGCCTTGCAGATTTTTTAAAAAATGGATTTGGCCAACCATGGACTTATTCTCCTGCAACAGTTAAACGCTCAGCGAGAGTTTGGTTTCCTGTGTGACTGCACGGTTGCCATCGGCGATGTGTACTTCAAGGCACACAAATCAGTTCTTGCTTCATTCTCCAATTACTTTAAGATGTTGTTTGTCCATCAGACCAGGTAACTAACGTGGTTGATAATAATCTAATGACTGTAGCCTCTGACCTTCCATGGCCCTCTTTCCCACTGAACCTGCTCTTTGCCCTCATCAGGACCATGGTTCTCATGACCTCTCCCTAGGCTCCCAGTCCCTGGTGACCTCACCTGCCCCAGGGAGCCCCTCCACCTCCAGACAGCCGTGCCCAGTCCAGATCAGCAGCCTGGGGTCCACCAGGAAGGCAGCTTTCTCCTCCAGCCCTGCCCCGAGTGTCCCCTTCCCCCTCCCCCCAACTGGACTTTGAGTATTTATCCTTAGTCTCCTAATGAGAAGCTTGGCAGCATGAATTCCCACCGTGTCCTTCTTTTCTCCCCTAAAATGACTCAGTCTCCTTATTTTTTTTCTTCCCATCTGTTCTGTCTTGAAGAAAAGAGCCCCTGGTTTCTAAGGAAGACGATCCTCCTGCTGCCCTCACGTTCCCAGGTTCGCCATAGTTTCCATTCTGCATTTTTCATTTTTACCTGGTACCCTCCCTGGCATCCCCGAGTCTGAAGGCTCAGCACTTCTGTGACCCTGCTGTCCACCGGCTGGTGCTGCCTCTCTTTGCTGCACTGTGGAAGTTCCTCAAAGGGTGATCTATGGCTTCACCTCTCCCCTCTTCATCCCCCACTCTTTGTATCCGCGGGGACTGCGGTTTCCACTGTATCGCCCCACAGACCTCACTTCTCCCAAGGTCACCCCTTCATCAGAACCCCGCTGTCCTCGCAGTCGCTGTTGCCCGTGTCCTCTGAAGCACTTGCGCCTGTTTCCTTCCTTCTTCAGGGCTGTCATCTGCGTTTCGATGATTCTGAATCCCCCTTGTTTTTCTGCCTTCTCCACAGGCGCCTCCTGCAGTTTTGGTGAGTTGGGTCTCCTCGCCGCTTTCTCTCTGCCTCTCCTGATGGGCCCTCCTCTTTGCCTGGACCTGGCCTCTGCTGGAAACCAGTTCACAGCCCTGGCCTTGCTCTTTTTCTGTCTCCAGAACTGTTACTTCCCAAGGCCCCAGGCTAGCTGCTGGACATGTAGAATTGAATATCCTCTTTTGTCTCATTTTGCATGTCTGCAGCTGAATTAAGTCTGCCCAGAAGTGCCTCTGGCTTCCCTATTTTATTTTTTCATCTTCAAGTAACCCATACTTAAAATCTCTCTAAAACTGTCCCCAAATCATGTTTTCTTCACAATTACCTTTCACATTAGTTCTTTCCTTCCCTTCTCACTTCCATTTCCTAATCATTTTCCATATTACTATCAGATTAATATTCCTAAGCACTGCTTTGATTGGCATGTGCCTTTGTTCCAAAACCTATCAGATTGTGTTATTCTTTTGACTGGAAACCTAGAGGACACTCATCACACATCAAAGTAGCACACAGATTCTTCTTTCTGTCCTTCAAGGCCCAGCAGGCATGGAGCCTGACCTCCTTCCAGCCAGTTTCTGAAGGCACCCCCTTGGGACACTCCATCCCTCACTGGAACCACACTTTGTTGGCCTTGTGCCCACTCCCTGAGCCATAGTCCATAGGTCATCTCCCTGACCGCCCCCCACACCCCGCCCAACAATCAAATGAGCTGAAATGCTCCAAGCAGTCTTTTCCTCTCTTACATCTCAGAGCGCTTTATTCATGTCATTTTGTAAGAGCAACGTATTTTCCCTTTGTTGTTGTTATTTGTGTACTTACCTCCCTTCCTCTTTCGTAAGATGCTGGAGGGCAGACATTCTACAAATGTTTTGAAAGTCACAGCCTATAGTTCACAGATTTGTGTATAATAGCCACTTGATAGACGCTTAGAGGAGCAGAATGGGTGGTTAATAGGATTGATGGCAGATGGAAGTTGCTTTATCTTTCGACACTAAGGATGCCCCCTGATCCTTTATTGCTAATGGATACTGGAAGTCTCAACACAATGAATTAAACTGTCTTGCCAAGGGGCTGGTTTTCATTTTGAGGAATAAAAGAATACATTGTAATGATTTTTAAATAGATGCAGGAAACTGACTATAAGTGTAGTTATTCAGTCACTAAGTCCTATTTGACTCTCTGTGACCCCAAGGAAGTGTAAAGTGTAGAGCAGTGAGCAAATACCCTTCTCACAAAGGAGTGTGATATCAGTGCAGAGAGGAGCCCCAAGTTTAAGCAACATCGTGTTATTGCCCGGGAGCCGGCATGTGCTATTTGGGAAAGGAGAATGCTTAGGCAAAGACCAGAGCCCTGCTTTTAACTGCTGACTACTGTAGAGATGCAGAAGCAGAAGCTCCAATACTTTGGCCACCTGATGCAAAAAACCGACTCATTGGAAAAGACTTGAAAGATGGAAGGCAGGAGGAAAAGATGGTGACAGAGAATGAGGTTGTTAGACAGCATTACTGACCCAATGGACATGAATTTGAGCAAACTCCTAAAGATAGTGGAAGACAGGGGGGCCTGGGGTGCTGCAGTCCATGGGGTCACAAAAAGTCGGATGTGACTTAGCAACTGAACAACAACAGCAACTGTAGAGATAGATCAAGAATAATTTTTCACACTGAGAGAGTGTTTTATGTCTGTAATTACCACTAGATGTCTCTTGTCTTATGGATGCTTGCTAAGTATAACTTCTGATAGCGTCTCACATGAAACATTAATTTTAAATCCTTATTTTCAAAGTTTTTTAAGCCCATCTTTTACTTAAAGGGTCTATTGAAGGAAAGATTGAAAATGTAAATGACTGTGGAAGTTTTTAGGAAGGGCTTGTAGCTTGTTCAAAAACTATTTTTCCTCCATAAAAGTGTTATGTCCAACATACATCTGCAAACCAAACCACTTACGTGTAAGTATATTGTAGACAGCTGTTTCCTTCCCAAAAGCCTGGGAAATGACCAGAGTGGCCTAGAGCGAGCTGAGCAATTGACAGGAGGCCTGGCTGCCTGGCAAGGATAGTCATGGAGGACATTGATGGCTGGAATGTGACATAAGGAGCTTTTTAAAATAGCTTTTTAAGTGTCTTGAGTGTGTCTATGTACTTCTGCTTTAAGGAAAAAAAGAAAAAAAAAGATGAACAAATCAAGATAAATTGGTGTCTGAAAACCTCTCTGGGCCCTGGGCGCTAACCGCAAACCCCAAGGCCCCACTGCTTTCTGCCTGGGTCTCCTCACCTGTCCCCTGGGCCCCAGAGTTTTTCTCTCTGTAAGCCTTGCTGAAGTGTGGTCAGGGCCTTCCCAGCCCCATCCCTTCTTTGCCCTCAGAAATTGCACTAAGTTCGGTAAAATTGGAGAAGCTTACTATCCAGTCACCTCCATTTGCAGTCAGGAGAGGACAGCTCAACTTATACAATAGCCAATAAGGGTGCTAAAATTTACAAGAGTCTTTCTGGAAAGGGACCCCGCTAGGGATTTACCTTTCATGGAGGCTGAAAACTCGAGCCAGGCTTAGGATTTCCGCCCTTCCCTTTTCTCTGCCGCGGAGGCAGGGGGACTCACCATCCTTCCTCCTGATTGAAGGAACATTCCATCCCCAAAGATGGCAACATTCCCCAGTGTCTAGGCGGTAGAGAATTCTGACCCGAGAGGCACGGGTTCAAGCCGGGGACAGGAAGATCCCCTGGAAGAGGAAATGGCAACCCACTCCAGAATTCTTGCCTGGAGAATCCCACGGACAGAGGATCCCAGCGGGCTACAGTCCATGGGGTCGCAAAGAGTTGGACACGACTGAGCACACAAGTCCCCACAGAACAAAAGGCGCCCTGTAGGCTCCTGGGGGTGATTTGCATCTTTCAAGGCCTGTGGTTTCCCATTCTCTAGCCTCTGCCTGGCCCTGGAAAGATTCCCCACTAGTTCAGTCTTCAATCCGGAGTTGACTGTTTACATTATGAAAGTTTTCTTCACCACACCAAATCCCTGAAGGTTTATCTTGAATATTGAATTTCCCTAGAGCATCTCAGTATGTTCGACTATACACAGAATATTGTTGGCACTTACCTTGTGCTTAAAGGGAAGGACCACCTGCATTGGCATTCCTATTTAAAGGAATATAAATAATTGAAAGGACTATAAAAAAGTCTCCAAATAAAGACATGAGTGATCTGTGTGTCTTTTAAAAACAGTCCCATAAATTCTTTCCCTTTCTGCTGTCAAAGGGGTGCTAGTTTTTATGCTTGATCTTTGCTTATAAAGACTATATTCTATAAAACCTTCCATACTTTATAATCATACTTTATAGTCAGACATTTTACACATGATTATTTGTATGCAGGCATCTTGAAATTTACACACATTGATGGCAGTACAAAAATTATTCAAGTATATTTTATCACAGCTTTAAAAGCCATTTAATAGTCACTTGCCTCCCCCTTTTTTTAACAGACAAAAATACTAAATTTAGAAGAGCAGATTATGCTGTTACTATTTTAGCATATTGGGAAATACTTAAGATAAATAGTTAAAGGGCCCAAAAAGAGTCATAGTAGTAATAAGTGGTATAATGAAAAATGATTATGAATTCTAAAAGCATGCAAGGCAAATGTCTTTGAGGTTGAAAAATGCATTGTCAGTAGAATATATTCACTCAGTAGGTGACAGCACATATACCTCATGTAGATCTTTATCTCATTGATTTATGGTGATGTGTTAGGTTTTCTTTCTTTACTGATGATTTAGGGAGGGTTCTCGGGAGCTTTTTGTTATTACTGCTTGAATCTACACTCTGTTTCTAGGATGATGCAAACACTGAAGTCTGCAAGTTAGACCATCAATTTTGCCACAACTCCTTTTGGTACCTCATATAAGCCACTGAACCTTGGGGAATCTCGGTTTCCATGTCAATCATCATTCCAGATCTGCCTCTTCTACACAGGATTGTTTTAATGGTCCAGAGACTCTTGGTGTCTTGGCTTAGAAGTTAGACTCAAATTTAAGTCCCATCACTTACTAATACTGATACTCAGTAAGGTATAAATCCCTTTGAGCCTCAACTCCTTATCTGTAAAGTGTGAATTGTTGCTGTTGAGTCACTCAGTCGTGTCCGACTCTGAGACCCCGTGGACTGTAGCCCACAAGCCCCTCTGTCCGTGGGATTTCCCAGGCAAGAACACTGGAGTGGGCTGCCGTTTCCTACTCCAGGGGCTCTTCCTCACCCAGGGAGTAAAGCCGAGTCTCCTGCATTGGTAGGCGGATTCTTTACCACTGTGCCACTTGGGAAGCTCCAAAACGCGAATTAATGGCAATGCAATGAGAAAATGCCTGCAAATCCCAGCTGCAATTCCAATGATGAGGATGATTATATTTGATAAACAACCGAGTCATCCCAGAGCTGCTTTTCATGTGATCCAGTGATACTGGGATGATGATCAGACTCCATTGGAGCTGGAATGTGGCTTGCCTTCCTGATTCTTCCCAGGTCTGCTGCACTCTGCCCTTCGTGCTGGAGAGAGCAGAGGGGTTCAGAGCAGGGACAGGAGGTGGTTTTTCTTACTTTTGTGGTCTTGCTCTTAGGCACCAGTCTAACTCCCCTATGTTATGTTGTGACTCCTATCTTAAAAGATCTGCTGAGTTCCAGATGGCATTGAATCAATATAAAGTCCTAGATGTTTAGCTGAAAGATACGCATGTCAGGGATTCTTAAGCATTTACTGGGTCATGGGCCACTCAGCAATGGATCCTCTCCATAAAGCACAAAGTTGTTTATAAACGATATAATTTTACATAGGTTACTAGGAGAAAGACTACTTCAAGAGTCTATGTGTTAAGTTACCATATTTCTTTAACATGAATTACCCTTTCTCAGTCCTTTAAAATAATCTTTATCGTATTCCTGTCTGTTCTATTAAGAAGCCTATTAAGGTTTAGAGTTAAATTGCATAGGTTCCTGTTGGAACACTTTCTTGAGTGTTCCAGTTCATGAAACTCACAGTAAGATATGGGAGATGGGTCTTGTTTCATTTGCCTCCATAAGAGCCCTCCGGGTTTTTCCCTCGGGTTTTATGGAATCACTTGAGTCACGGACCGACATCCAATGACAGACTTTTCTCTCGTCTCTTTCAGCGAATGTGTCCGCTTGAAACCCACCGACATCCAGCCGGACATCTTCAGCTATCTCCTGCATCTCATGTACACAGGCAAGATGGCGCCGCAGCTGATCGACCCGGTGCGGCTGGAGCAGGGCATCAAGTTCCTGCACGCTTACCCGCTGATCCAGGAGGCCAGCCTGGCCAGCCAAGGAGCCTTTTCTCATCCCGACCAAGTTTTCCCGCTGGCGTCGTCCTTGTATGGCATTCAGATCGCAGACCACCAGCTGAGACAAGCCACCAAGATGGCCTCGGCGCCTGAGAAACTTGGTCGAGAGCCACGGCCGCAGGCGACGCGGATGAGCCAGGAGCAGGGGCCCGAGGCCCCCCAGCTCTCCCAGCTGCCCTCCAATCTGAGCCAGGTGAACCGGACACACATGACTCCCTCAGACCCGCTGCAGACCTCGCTGTCGCCCGACCTCGTCTCCACGCCCGTTCCTCCCCCGCCCCCCGGGGAGGAGACCAACCTGGAAGCCTCCTCGTCGGACGAGCAGCCCGCGCCCCTCACCATCGCCCACGTCAAGCCGAGCATCATGAAGAGGAACGGCAGCTTCCCCAAGTACTACGCCTGCCACCTGTGCGGGCGGCGCTTCACGCTGCGGAGCAGCCTGCGGGAGCACCTCCAGATTCACACGGGGGTCCCCTTCACGGCCAGCCAGCCCGGCGAGAGCCGCGTGCCCCTGTCTCTGTGCAGCAACGCGGCGGACCTCGGCAAGGACGCCATGGAAGTGCCGGAGGCGGGCATCATCAGCGACAGCGAGCTCCAGCACATCTCGGACTCGCCCATCATCGACGGGCAGCCGCACTCGGAGACGCCGCCGCCCTCGGACATCGCGGACATTGACAACCTGGAGCAGGCGGACCAGGAGCGGGAGGTCAAGCGGCGCAAGTACGAGTGCACCATCTGCGGCCGCAAGTTCATCCAGAAAAGCCACTGGCGGGAGCACATGTACATCCACACCGGGAAGCCTTTCAAGTGCAGCACGTGCGACAAGAGCTTCTGCAGGGCCAACCAGGCGGCCCGCCACGTGTGCCTCAACCAGAGCATCGACACCTACACCATGGTGGACAAGCAGACTCTGGAGCTCTGCACCTTTGAGGAAGGCAGCCAGATGGACAACATGTTGGTACAGACGAACAAACCCTACAAATGCAACTTGTGTGACAAAACGTTCTCCACTCCCAATGAGGTGGTTAAACATTCATGCCAAAGCCAGAACTCAGACGTCTTCGCCCTGGAGGAGGGGCGGTCCATTCTCCTGGGCAGTGGGGACTCGGAGGTGACGGAACCCGACCACCCGGTGTTAGCTTCCATCAAAAAGGAACAGGAAACAGTGTTGTTAGACTGAATGTTACTTATGTTTTTAAAAACTGTCATTTTTACAAAGACTCTCTTCCTTCCCTTCCCCCAAATTCAGAACTCTTGTTCTCCACGGCATGATGCAGACAGGTCCCGGCCCCACTCCCCCCACCCCTCCTGCCCCGTCCACAGCCCCTCCTCTTAAAGGCTCTGTGCATTATAAACCCGGAACATACTTCGTTTAATTCAGGGGATATTGGAAAGATAATGGTCAGTAGTACTTATAAGCTCATAGACTTGGAGAAGTTTTAGATGATTTAAAAGCCTACTTGGAACTAATGAAGGGTATATAACATAACAAAACAACTCCAATGCAATTTGGCAAGCTAAAATTATGACTTTCCCTGGGTAGTAAGTCTCCCTTCTCAGAAAGACAATGTCTGAAAAATACAGCATGCTTCTTAGAGATACAGTGGGGCTCTGTAACTATGCAAAATCTAGAGGTGTGGGGAAACTTCAAACCCAAGAAAACATTCTTAGTATTTATCCTCCAGGTGTCTTATTTCAGAATGCATCCTTTGAGATTATGTCCGGTTAGGAAAAATCATTAGTTGAGAAATCTACTTGAACAAAACACAAAAGAGAAAAAGTAATAATGTGATGGCAATCTTAATTTTTGGATAAAACATGACAAACTGTGGGTCTGTGTGTTTGGAAGAGAAAATGTATGGATACTTGCTGTAAACAGGTGAATTAATGCACATGCCTTATCTAATTGCTGGCTTTTTTCAGAGCTGAATAACAACAAAATATGTGTTTTAGTTTCCAACAAATTTGTTGGTTGTTTTAAAAATCAGACTTGAAAGTACCATTCTATAGATAGATTGTCTTTCTGAATAGAAAACAATATGCCATTCTAGCAGTCGCCAGTGGTAAATTTGTTTTTAGCGCCAGTCAACTGCTTTTAAATCAGTGTGAGTATGCAGGGGGGTAAAGATACAAGAATATGCATCTTACAGGGAAAGTTGTGGGCAGATGTAGGAACTTTAATGACTAAATGTTAATGCTGATAGTTTACTGGCAACATTCACTGAAGCATCAAAAATGGCAGAAATCAGGACAAAAAAATTGCTGTTTGGGAAAAAGCTTAATTTTGATGTTTAGTCTCCCATTTTTGAAAAAAAAAAAAACACCTGAAATTTCCTCCATTGGCCTGAAAGCAGTAAAAGTTGTCCATTAATCTTCCTTTAGGCCAATAACAGAATGGTCTCACAGGATAAAACAGGAGCCAGAAATAAGGACCGAAGGGGAAAGGGAAGAACAGTTAATAACTGTGCTATATGTGTATGTTAAAAACTGAATATCCCGTCATCTTACTTCATGTATAGTTGCGTTCTCAGATTTGTAAAGTTTTTATACATACTTTCATTGAATAAACATTTGATTAAATGGGTATATGATTTTATCTCTGTATTACTTTGTCTGCAAAAAAGGCAGGAAAGGCGGTTAGAGAGCATTGTCACTTTCTTGCTGTATCTCCTCTGGTACCTGCTGAACTCTGGGCAAATTCCCCTAACCTGGGTGGCACCTTTTCTATTTGTAAAATGAAGACAGTAACTGCACTGGATCATAAAACTGTGAGAATCAAAACAAGTAAACAATGTAAGAAGAAGCTATGAAGAGTTTGACCACCAGTTAGTCTGGATATTGTCTTATTCAACTTTTTTTTTTACAAGGAGGAAAAAAGAGGTCAAAGTTTGCCTAAAGATGACACAAAGACAGACTATATCAACCTAGATTATTAAATACTAATAATCCACTGATTCCATATTAAAAAAAACTACAGTAGTCCCTCCCCTCTTACCCTCAGTGGATACATTCCAAGAATCTGAATGGAGAGTACCAAACTCCATAAAGGTTATGTTTTTCCATATACATCCATTCTTAAGTTTAATTTATAAATTAAACACAGTAAGAAAATAGCTGAATTGCCATCACTGCTCTTGTGCTTTGGGACCATTTTTAGTAAAATAAAGGTTACTTGAGCACAAGCACTGCTGTACCCTGACAGTTGCTCTGATAACCCAGGTGGCTACTAAGTGACTAACCAGCAGAATACCCTGGGAAAAGGGATGATTGACACCTGGGAGGGATGGAGTGGGCTGTGCAAGAATTCACTGCGCCACTAAGAATGGCTGCAATTTAAAACATACGAATTATTTCCGGAATTTTCCATTTAATATATTAGGGTGAAGGTTGAACACAGAAAGTGAAACCTTACATAAGGCTGTGTGTGTGTGTGTGTTAGTCACTTAATTGTGTCCGACTCTTTGCAACCCCATGGACTGTGGTCCACTAGGCTCCTCTGTCCATGGAATTCTCCAGGCAAGAATACTGGAGTGGGTTGCCATTCCCTTCTCCAGGGGATCTTCCTGACCCAGGGATGGAACCTAGGTCTCCTGAATTGGGGGCAGATTTTTTTAATGTCTGAGCCGCCAGGGAAGCCCTTGGAAAAGGGCTGTGTGTTTACATCTCACAGTTTAAATGGGAGTCTTGTGCCAAGTTAGCTTCAGTGACTATCTGAAAGGGAAACTCAGTTGCCTCCCAGCCCTTCCGGCAGACAAGGGTGTCTTGAAGACCAGGAAGTCGTGGGAATCACCAAGGATCTGATGGGTGAAGAAGGAGGGGTGAATGCCGGCATCCTGATGAAGAGAAAAGGGCAGGCACTCTGTTCCCCTGCTGGAGGGAAGGCGCTCTGAGCAGCCTGCAGCCTCCTCCTCTATGTGGCAGACCTGGACATTGCCGATTCCCTCCCTAAACCAAAAGCCCGGTACAGATAAAGAAGCCAACCCTCCCCTGGGATGCTCTGGTCCCATTTAATCCCAAGAGGTTATAAACTAACAATTTATTCTGAGTTTGGGGTGGTACCAATTTTTTTTTAATTAAAAAAAAAAATTATCTAATCTTTGGCTGTACCGGGTCTTCATTGCTGCCAGCAGGCTTTCTCTAATTCCGGCGAGGGGCGGCTACTCTAGATGCAGTACCCAGGCTTCTCATTGCAGTGGCTTCTCGTTGCAGAGAACAGGCTCTAGGGTGTGCAGGCTCAGTACTTGCAACACACAGCCTGCGTTGTCCCACAGCTTGTGAAATCCTCCTGGAGCAGGATTTTGCTGCACTGGCAGACGGATTCATAACCACCAGACCACCGGGGAAGTCTGATGGTACCAACTGAAATAAGCTTTGGCCGTATCAGTTGAAGGTATGAGCAATCTGAACACCTAAGCTTCAGGATGAATTTTCATTGCTGTGGTGGCTCAAGACTAAAAAATTCATTGGTAGTGCAGGAGACATGGGTTTGCTCCCTGGGTTGGGAAGATCCCCTGCAGCAAGGAATGGCAATCCACTCCAGTATTTCTGCCTGGGAAATCCCATGGACAGCCCTGGCAGGCTACTGTCCATGGGGTTGCAAAGAGTCAGACAGGATTGAGTAACTGACACTTCCTCCACACTCTAGCCCTTATTAACACCACTGGGTCTATTATTTTTCCTACTCTTGGAGAAAAATAAATGGTTCATTCAACAGATGTTGCTAAGAAATAGATTTGTAGGAACTGTAGGATTTTATTTTACCATAGGAAATATGGCCTTAATGGGAAGAAAGCATTCCATTAAAATGTATTTATCAATTATACTTCAATTAAGCTGAGAAATAAATTAAAAAGGTAGCTTGGATAATAACAGAAGAATGGAGTCTAGGGTGGACCTCAAGCCTTGTTAAAGTCACAAAACCGGTCACTATTCTTGTTTGTTAACTTCACCTTGCCAGAAAGGGAAGGGCTGAGATATCCAAAATGAATGCTTCAGTTTCAAAATGTCAGACCTCAGTCACACATTTCAGGGAAAATACCAAATTGCTGTGTTTAAAGAGATAAAAGCACTTAGAAGGATAGTTTCAGAGGATGGTATGTACATGGTACCTCCTGAAATTTGGCTGGGAATTGTGATGGGGGAGGGGAAGCCCTCTCTTGCTAATCCACTAGGAATTAATTTTAAGATAAAGTATGAGAACAGGGAGTACAGTTTCTTGTAATGCAATTTAACTTGTTCTTCAGGTTGACTGCATTTTTATGACAATCTTTGCTTTATTCCTCCATTTGGGTCCAGAACCAGTTATAGCTATACATCGCTTGCAGGTAAGGAAGATTTAGGCCTAGAAATCTTTAAGCACATAAAAAACATTATTGAGCTTAAGATACTGATTGATGAAACTTCCTCTTCTAGAACTAGCTCCCAAAACACAATTGGAAGACTATCACTCAACTGCTAACTAAATAAAACTGTTAGCTCTCTAAATAAAATAAAAGTTAAACCGAGAATCTATAGTATCAAAAAACAAAAAAAAAATGGACCAGGGTGAAATGATGTTGTGTGGTTTCATTCTGCTCAGACAAATCTAAATGTTTTTAACATAAAAAGTAGCTATGAATTTTTGACTCAAACTTGTGCTAATCTGGAAAATAGTCAAACCTGCCCTGCCTAAATTCCCTGATTGTTGGGAAGATTGCTCCTCATAGAGAAGGCATTACGTACTACACGGCTGAGCATGCGGAGGCAAGATCCTGTATTGGTTGTCTGGGCGCTCCAGGTTGAAAGTAACTCCTCCCAGCTGTCCTGTCAGACACATGTGCTGTGTTGCCAGTTAAAGAAATTGAGGCCCAAAGAAGTTAACCAACTTTTCTGAGGTTGCCCAGTCAGGATTCAAAGCCCCCTGTGGCTCAACTCTTACCTTCCCAAATGTGCAAACATTTTCATGGACTAGAATCGACTGGGTGGGGCGGGTGTTGTCAGGAGAGGGGTGGGTATCTGGAAGGGAAAACTTTTTCACCTGTTAACCTATTCATGTGGCTATTGAGGAGGTGAACATAAATCTTATTCATTGCCTTTACCACAGTGGTTCTAAAACTTCAGCACGTCAGAATCTTCTGAAGGGCTTCATAAAACAGACTGTAGAGTATCTGATGTTGAAGCTCCAACACTCTGGCCACCCTA